CGGTAAGATGACTACAGTGTTGTTGTGAGATGACGTGATGTTTATATATATTTTTATCATATTTAGAGTTAATAATAACATATTTTCATAAACAGTCTTCGTATAAAATGCTAAAATTATTAGTTCTGTTCGGAAATGTACAGCTTGTTGAATTTCTGAAGGGACCGGACGTGGCCTGGTTGTTAGCGTACCGGATTTCATATAGGTAAGTTCTAGGTTCAATTCCACGACACGCTGTTGAATGCGTTCTGCACTTTCAGTTAAGAGTAGCCACGTAGGCGGCAGGTGCTGCGGACGGGTTGCTCTCCCTGTAATCAGCAGTTCTAAGATAGGGCTTGGGGTCTCTGAACTGGCTGTTGAGTCCATGTGTTCTATAAGGTGCCGTTCTGGTTGAAAATGACCAAATGCCAAACATTTTCCGAGAGGGATGTTTTCGATTTAAGAAACTAAAAGGTGCCATTCTGGTTGAAAATGACCAAATGCCAACCATCTTCCGAGGGGGATGTTTTCGATTTGCTAAACTATAAGATGCCATTCTGGTTGAAAATGACCAAATGCCAAACATCTTCCGAGAGGGATGTTTTCGATTTACGAAACTATAAGGTGCCATTCTGGTTGAAAATGACCAAATGCCAACCATCTTCCGAGAGCGATGTTTTCGATTTACGAAACTATAAGGTGCCGTTCTGGTTGAAAATGACCAAATGCCAAACATCTTCTGAGGGGGATGTTTTCGATTTAAGAAACTAAAAGGTGCCGTTCTGGTTGAAAATGACCAAATGCCAAACATCTTCTGAGGGGGATGTTTTCGATTTAAGAAACTATAAGGTGCCGTTCTGGTTGAAAATGACCAAATGCCAACCATCTTCCGAGATGGATGTTTTCGATTTACGAAACTATAAGGTGCCATTCTGGTTGAAAATGACCAAATGCCAAACATCTTCCGAGAGGGATGTTTTCGATTTACGAAACTATAAGGTGCCGTTTTGGTTGAAAATGACCAAATGCCAACTATCTTCCGAATATTTTCGTAAAAAAACATCAACAGTTTTATAGTCTTCTTTAACTTAATACTTAAAAGTCTCTAACAAAAACGAAGTTTTTAATTAATTAGATCTTTTGGAAGGTTTATTTTTATGTATAGAACAGCTAGCTGTAAGGATTGAAAACTTGAGCTCTAATTAATGCTGGCGACAACAACAACATCAAAAGAATACAAAGGAAACGTATCTGTCTGCTATCCCGATGACAGTAACAAATTCGGAGATAATGAAATAATCCGGTGAAACTTAAAACACGAAATTTTGCGTATTTAGACTGGTTTTATTAATTATCAGACAAAGTTCGAACAGCACGCACGAGTTTAATGTATCATTTACAAAAAAGTTGATATAACGAAGACAACAGGATTTAGCTGTTACGAAATGGTATCCATGAAGAAGGGAATGCACTAACCTTATTATTGAACTGAGAAAAGACTGTTTGTTTTGTGTTGGCGCAAAGCTCCACAGTGTATATCGTAGGGATCGAGTCCCGAATTCTAGCGTATTAAGCCCTCGAGTTTACAGGATATCTGTGCTGTGCCCACCGTGGGGTATCGAAATCCGAGTTGTAGCGTTATAAGCCCTCAGATTTATCGCTGAGCCACAAGGGGGTCGGTGAGACAGTTAAAAAAAAATTATAAGCTCTTTCCAGACGAATGATTTGATATTCAATTTTGAACGTTTAGATTTATTACACAAAGAAAGATTTTGATTAGCAGTAATCGATATTCACTTGCGATCAGAACAAGTTAACTACTTAGTAATTTTAAATATTCGCTTACTTACAAAACACAAACTGAAAGTTAGTCTTCTTCATCAGGAGCGGGTAAAGTGTGAAAAAAGTAAAAAAAAAATCTAGTTTTTGGTAAAATAAATATTTGTTTTTTGAATTTCACACAGTGCTACTCGAGGGTCATCTGCGCTAGCCGTCCCTAATTTTGAAGTGGTAGACGAGATGAAAGGTAGTCAACTTTAACCACCGCCAACTCTTGGACTACCCTTTACCAACGAACAGTGGGATTTACCGTCACTTTATAACACCCCCCACGGCTGAAAGAGCGAGCATGTTCGATGACGGGATTCGAACTCATGACACCGAGATTGCGAGTCGAGTGCTCCAACCATCAGGCCATGCAAGGCACCTGTGTGTATATATATATATACGAAACAGAGGGAAGTCTAAATAAATAAAACTTCTTCTTTATTCAACCATGACTCCCCACCTCCCGTTCCTCAGTAATGTTCGGGTATAACTGTCCATAATTTCTAACTACTGACCATAGGAAAGGAAGCCACACTGCAGCACCTGCAACAACAAAAGGTCTGCCCGGCTTTGAGCCCCCCAGTAGCACAACGGCATGTCTGCAGACTAACAACGCTACAAACCGGATTTCGATACCCGCGGTGGTCGGAGCACAGATAGCCCTTTGTGCTTAACTACAAACAAACAAACAAACCGGTTTGGAACAGAATTTCTTCTTTTAACCCCCCACTTGGTGAGTTGGTTGCTTTTATAGTAAAGCCACATTGAGCTATCTACTGCCTCCACCACGGGGGATCGAATCACGAATTTTAGCACTGTCAGTCCATGGACTTACCACTGTGTTACCGAAGGACCACTTGGTAGGTATTTGGGAGTTGGCTATCTGGGGGTGTTTGGAAATCCGCTTTCACCCCACTTGTGATATTGGCATGTACAATAAGAGAGAGAGAAAAAAAGAATAAATATTAATAATAAAATAATATATATTTATATATACAAGTTAAAAATTAAAATAAATAATACAACTATACATAGAATTGTTTGTTTTTTTAATTTCGCGCAAAGCTACACGAGGGCTATCTGCGCTAGCAGTCCCGAATTTAGCAGTGTAAGACTAGAAGGAAGGCAGCTAGTCATCACCACCCACCGCCAACTCTTGGGCTACTCTTTTACCAACGAATAGTGGGATTGATCGTCACTTTATAATATAACGCCCCCACGGCTGAAAGGGCGAGCATGTTTGGTGTGACGGGGTTTCGAACCCGGGACCCCCAGATTGCGAGTCGGGCGCCTTAACCCCCAGGCCATGCCGGGCCATATACATAGAAAAGAAATAACAAACATAGAATGAAATGTTATGTATATTTATATATAAATAAAACATTATTGTCCAAAGGTAGCAAGAGACTGCACAACTGACCGATCCAAGAAGAGAAGTCGAATGGGGAGCAGCGAAAGCCCAAAGAGGTAAAACAGACAGCCAACCAGAGCGGCACGGATTTCTAAGTTCTTGAAAGTTTGGTGTGAGGGTAATACGAGAGCATCACGGAAAAAAAAGGCCACCTTCAATGGGCAGGCGCAGAACATTTTGACCTTCTCACTGCCCTAGATATAACACGAATGAATTGGCTGGAAGGAAAAAGGCTGAAAAGATGACTAGCAAAAAAAACTTGAAACAAGTGAAACTTAGTTGTGTGCGTCAATACCACGTGATCGAACACTATTTGTTGTTAATCTGATTTATTTTGTTTGTTTGTTTGTAATTAAGCACGAAGCTACATAATGGGCTATCTGTGCTGTGCCCACTACGGATATCGAAACCCGGTAATCTGATTGAAAAGGGAAGTATATTTTTTGTGCCGAATAACCGGGCTGACAGCACTTTTATATTGTACAGGGGCATAAATGTGTTAACCCTGGATTTTCTGCTTCATAATTTTGCATAATAGTAAGCTTTCAATATGACTCGTGTCAAATCAAAATAGTATCAGCTTAGTTTTTACTTAGTCAAAGCGAAAAAAAAAATTAATTTTTTTCTCATTCATTTGAATTTGATTTAAATGAGATAATGTTTCATTATTGCTCTATTTCTGCACTTAGTCTTAGCAATATTTAAGTGAAATACCCCCAACCCCCAATAAAAGACTGGACCTTTGTAAATAAGTTAAATACACATGAGTTACCTTTAGCTCCGCGGAGGACGAAACCAAAACCTTTTTTGCCCTTATGAAGAACCACTGTACGTGGGGATCTATTCCTGCGGTAGTTAGAAACAAAAAACACAAACTAAATACTTTCTGATACATTTCATTGCATTTATTTGGAATTAAAACATATTTGAGTGAGTTTCAAACACTTCTATGTGGAACCTATATAGTATCATACTTTTAAACGCTTCTTTGAAATCCAGTAATAAGTTATTCTGGGCTAATTACCGTTTTAATGTATATTTTAGAACTATGAGGATCTATATATTGAAATAAGAATTAGATTTAACCAAAAAATTGTTGTATGTCATTAATAAGCGTCTATAACGAGAAAATATAAGTTAAAAACGTGAGTCAAAAAATTAATATACCCACCTTCTTTGGCGTCCATGATATTGTTGTAGGCTATGTTTTTATTATTGTATTGTTCGTTAGAGGTAGTTTTGCCATGACGTAATGATGACGTGTGACGCCTAGATATTTGCGGAGGGTCTAGATTTAACGTGATGTCTCGAATTTTCGTGAGATTTAGTGGGAAAAGAAGTTTGCATAAAACCATAAGAGTGAGTCAGTTATTTAGTGATCTTGCTAAAATATTGTCGATAGACTACTGGGTTAATTAGTGAATCAATCAGTTGGACAATGAGTTACTTAGTAAAAGTTAATCAGACAGTGAATTTGTTTCAGTGTTTTCAGTCAATTACCGAGTTAATGAATCCTGTATACCTTTGTTGAATTTGTGCTGTTGGTGCGAAAGTAAATAGAACAAAGTGACTTTTTAGTCTTATTTCTAAGTTTGGCCTATTGCTAGACTATCATTATTTCGTGAAACTGTGTAAGTTGTAAAACTTTCAGTTGAAGAGATAAATCACTTCACTTTTCATTAACCAAATTGTCATAACGAATCTGGTCAATGATAGAAACCGTTACAATAGTGGTATCAAGAGTGGGATTACCTTGGTAAAAATAAAATAGAATAAGGGCTAAATTTCAAAATGAAGACAGGTGCTCGAAATGAGGTCGAAAATGTGTTGGAATAATAAAATGGCAGAAATGAGAAAAACCAGAAAAAGACTGAAAATCAAAAGAAGATCAAAAGATAAAATATGAGTTAAATGAAAGATACATAAGACTTAGAGAATAATTAATAATATAAATATATTTAATTGAAGAAAAAGCTTGAAGAAACTGTTGGAGATGTACAGAAGGATTAAAAAAGTAAAACTGGGTTGTACACAAAGACATCTATAAAGTGGAGAGAGATTGTAATTATAAAATTGAAAAAGTATCAACTAAGTATAAAACGTATTATCAAAGTGCAAAAAAAACCAAAAAAAACCAGCAATATTAACAAAGTACAAAGAAATGGCAGTATAATAAAACATCTAGAAATTGATTTGGCAAATGTAATGATCAAACCAGCCACATACACTTTTCTCACCTCTAACTATGAAATAATAAACAGGAGAACCCAACTGTTCTAAACCCGTTACCACTACTGCTGCGCCATCTATTATTGTAGGACCTACCTGGTCTACTCCAGCAATACTTCATCAAGTTACAGAGTACAGCACGTTGATTCAACATGATTGGCCAATCACAAAATCAACAGACAGAAAAATACTATGGGATGCATATCAGGAACAATAAGTTATTAATCTTGCTGCCAAGTTAAAAGGATCAACCATGACAAGTATTAATCATTGGTGGCCGCCTTATCAAAGAGGTTTGTATTGCCACATCATAAGGAAGTTTCTAAAGCAAAGTAATGAGGAATAACTAAACATTAGGCAAACTTGTGGAAGATGTAGGAAGGCTTACCCAACTGTCTTACTCAGGTGTTCCACGTGAAATAATGAATGTACTGGCACGACGTGACCAACCTATAGATGCTTTAATAGTTGAGTATATACAAATTAGGCTAAAACAAAGTAGGTGTACATCGTTAAAGTATGCTGTCCAGTTGGCAATGAAACTGGAATCAATTAAAGTTACAGATAAACAACTAAATGGACCATTGAGAGACTACGAGATCATTAGGTCAAGCAGAACACCAACTCTCCTGGATGGAAGTTTAGAAGAGCACAATTGCTTAATAGACAAATTTAGGAACTAAACCACACGACAGATTTGAAAGGAGCATATTTCCAGTAACTTCAGACAAAAGTCTTTAAATCAGAAAAGGCTTTTGTCTAGAATGGAGGAAATAAACCAAATCCCAGGACAGAAGGTGTTCCAACTGTAACTTAAAAAGGGGACATATTACTAGAAACTGCTGCCAAATGATGACAGTAGAAAGAAACACCTATATATATCTAAAAAACATGGACGATACATCCAAGACTATCATGCAACAGTTGCTGATAGTAAACCAAGGATGACATCTTGAGGATGAGGATACTTTATTTGTTTTACCAGAAATAAGGAGTGTATTGTTTAAAGAAACCAGTCCAGGGGTCAACGTGTTTATTGATAGTAAGCCTTGCAGTATGTTAATCCACACTGTTTCTTTAGCTACAAATGTTCGACCTGATTTGGTAATGAAAGGCGTGAAATTGCCTCCAGAGATAAAGCAAGAAGATGGATTGATGCGAAACAAATTGTCATAAAGTTTTCATTGAAGGAGAAAAATTGGAAGTCACTCTCACTGTGGAACACTTCTGTATACAATATGATGTATGGACAGCTGACGTCGACGAAGAATGAATATTGAGAATTAACTTCTTGCAGAAACACAGATGTGGCATTAGACTAACTTCAAATGGCTTCACAGTCTACAATCAGGAAGTCTACATGTACTATACAATAACTACACAACCCAGAGGTTGGTATTCCAAGTAACTAACTTCAAATGGCTTCACAGTCTACATTCAGGAAGTCTCCATGTACTATACGATAATTACACAACCCAGAAGTTATACCCCAAGTAACTAACTTCATATGGCTTCACAGTCTACAATCAGGAAGTCTACATGTACTATACAATAATTACACAATTGTAGACTGTGAAGCCATATGAAGTTAGTTACTTGGAATATAACCTCTGGGTCAGGTAGTCTACATGTACTGTACGATAACTACACAACCCAGAGGTTGGATTCCAAGTAATTAACCTCAAATGGCATCACAGTCTACAATCAGGAAGTCTCCATGTGCTATACAATAACTACACAACCCAGAGGTTGGATTCCAAGTAATTAACCTCAAATGGCTTCACAGCTACAATCAGGAAGTCTCCATGTACTATACAATAACTGCACAACCCAGAGGTTATACTCCAAGTAACTAACTTCAAATGGCTTCACAGTCTACAATCAGGAAGTCTCCATGTACTATACAATAACTGCACAACCCAGAGGTTATACTCCAAGTAAGTAACTTCATATGGCTTCACAGTCTACAGTCAGGAAGCCTACATGTACTATACAATAACTACACAACCAAGAGGTTATACTCCAAGTAACTAACTTCATATGGCTTCACAGTCTACAATCAGGAAGTCTCCATGTACTATACAATAACTACACAACCCAGAGGTTATATTCCAAGTAACAACAAAGTTGAGTTCACATGGTAATGAATTGAAGACAACTGAGATGGAATGAAATGAGCAGAGTTACGAAGAACAGATGGTTCAAGCTGAAAGACATCTGTCGTGGTCACCTCTAGAAATACATCGACAGGAGACTACCCAAATAAAGTCCTCACCAGATATAAGTCAACCTGCTGGACCACTTCCAGAGTAACAGAAGAGATACAGCTACCAGAGTGTTTTGTATATAGTGTTTTGTATATCTCAGTATTGATTCAATAATTGTACTGTTAGATGTGTAGGTATTAATACTGTTAATCGTAAAGTAAATTGAAAGTTATGGGATTTTAAGTTTTTAAGTTTAGAGTACTATTTTATTTGTGTATTAAAATTATTCAGGGGCTTTACACTCTAGGGAGAGACAGTGTTGTAGGCTATGTTTTTAACATTTTTTATTGTCCATAGAAGGAGTTCTGGCGTGACATATTGATTACACACGAGATCTAGAAGTTTTATGAGTATTTAGATTTGATGAAGTCTCGACTTTTTGCGAGATTTATGAAAACATATTGTATAAAAAACAGCAGAGCGAGTTACTTATTTAGTTAGTGAGCCTGTTACAGTATTGTCAATCGACTACTGGGTTTTTAGTAAGTTCGTCTGTCAGTTCATTAGTGAGTTAGTTAGTTAGTGAGAGAGTTAATCAGACAATAAGGTAGTTAGTCACCGAGTTACTTGGTGAGTCTATTACAATGTTATCGGTTGATTACAGAGTTAGTGTGTGTTGTACATATTTGTTGAGCTTGTACTGTAGATGGAGGAACTTTAAAAAGTAAGTGACTGTTAACATTTATTTGCGAGTTCGGCCCATCGCCCGATTATAGTTAGTTCTTGAAACTTTGTAAATTGAAAAACCTTCAGTTAGAGAAATAAAATGCCTTACTTTTCGTTAAGTAAACAGGGTTTCACAGTAGTTTTACCGAATAATAAAAAAAACCTTGTCCAACGATACAAACTGATACAACGGTATCCCGTCGTCCGTCAATAACTGAAACATGGTGAAGAATAACTAGTAGCATTTCTGTCAGCTGTCAGAAAAGTAACTAGAAATAACTGTCATGGTGAAAGGTAACTAGAAACCTTTCCTGTCATCCATCATTAACTAACATGTTGAAAGGTACCTATAAACCTTTCCTGTCATCCATCATTAACTGACATGGTGAAAGATAACTAGAAACCTTTCCTGTCATCCATCATTAACTAACATGGTGAAAGGTAACTAGAAACCTTTCCTGTCATCCATCATTAACTGACATGATGAAAGGTAACTAGAAACCTTTCCTGTCATCCATCATTAGCTGACATGGTGAAAGGTAACTAGAAACCTTTCCTGTTATCCATCATTAACTAACATGGTGAAAGGTACCTAGAAACCTTTCCTGTCATCCATCATTAACTGACATGGAGAAAAGTAACAAGAAACCTTTCCTGTCATCCATCATTAACTGACATGGTGAAAGGTAACTAGAAACCTTTCCTGTCATCCATCATTAACTAACATGTTGAAAGGTAACTAGAAACCTTTCCTGTCATCCATAAGTAACTATTCCTGTCGTCTGACAATAAGTTACATACGCTGAAAGGGAAAAGTAACCTTTCTTGTCGTCCGTCAATAACTGGCATAGTTAAAAATAAATAACAACCTTTCCTGTCGTCAATAACTGTAACATGGTGAAATGTAACTTGCAATCTTTCCTGTCGTCTGTCAGCAACAGAAACATGGAGAACTAGGATCCTTGCCTGTCGTCCATCAATAACTGGCACAGTTAAATATTAATAATAACCTTTCCTGTCGTCCTGTCATAACAAATAGATCCAATTTCTTTGGTTCGTTCATAGTTGGCTAAAACTGACAATAAATAGTCATACTCTGTGTCGTATATTTCGAGAACTCACATATATTTGTATGACTGACATTTAGCAGAAAGTGACACACCAACTAGCCTATGATACAATAGGTTCCTTTAAACCCATGTGTCACACATTGATAATTGGCTCTTTATTTATTTTGTGTGCGTATATCATTAACTGGAATATGCCTAACAATAAACAACAAGACACTGAACATTAGACACATTGTGTGTGTCGTATAGCACTAAGTGACACTTACCCGACAATGAATGAGTAACAGTTACGTAAGTCATTAACACACGATCTTACAGGGACTCACATTTTTCCACGTTTTAGGCATGGAGTTAACCCTTCTGAGAGGTAAAACTCGGTGACTACGAAAATGTCCCCTTCTAACGTCCTCCGTCCTTGGCTTAACTTCTCGCACACAGGAAGAAGGAAAAAAGCCTTCTTGTCCATTGACCAGCCGCCCTTCCAACAATCCACAGTCGGAAATTCCTACCACTGGACAATAAATGTTTTCGTCAACTGGCTAGTCAAGTTTTTTTTTTACGTGTGTGTTTTTAATTTTTTTAGCACGAATTGAATGATTTTTACTTAAACTATGAGTAACATTTGATTCCCTACCAAAATTTAACATTACAAATTAATATCTAAGTAGACTCTATAAAGAAGAAAAAAAATCATTATATGTATATTTGACGAGCTTAGTGGAGCATCAGACGAAACGCTACTTTCCGTTACTTCGATCTGGTTTTATTCCTGCCATTCTCAGAGCACACTTGTGAAGCATCTGAAATGAAGCGTGCGTTGACGGATATTCCCAAGAATATAAAGACTGGTTTTTAAATTATGAGCTGAACTACCACAAGTGTACGTTTAGTAAAATTACAGAAAGAGAACAACTGCTAACAAATATTTAGCACTTGATTAAACTGCAAATAATAAACGAAACGATAAAATATAGAGGTACTAGTTTTAACCCTAGGCTTGCACATGTGGCTAACTACACTAACAAATACTTAGCACTTGATTAAACTGCAAATAATAAACGAAACGATAAAATATAGAGGTACTAGTTTTAACCCTTGGCTTGCACACATGGCTAACTATACTAACAAATACTTAGCACTTAATTAAACTGCAAATAATAAACGAAACGATAAAATACAGAGGTACTAGTTTTAATCCTTGGCTTGCACATATGGCTAACTATGCTAACAAATATTTAGCTTATAACTCATAACGGGCGGAGAGATACAGATAAAATACAGAGGTACTAGTTTTAACCCTAGGCTTGCACACATGGCTAACTATACTAACAAATACTTAGCACTTAATTAACTGCAAATAATAAACGAAACGATAAAATATAGAGGTACTAGTTTTAACCCTTGGCTTGCACATGTGGCTAACTATGAGGGTTAAAACTAGTACCTCTATATTTTATCTGTATCTCTCCGCCCGTTATGAGTTATAAGCTAAATATTTGTTAGCATAGTTAGCCACATGTGCAAGCCAAGGGTTAAAACTAGTACCTCTATATTTTATCGTTTCGTTTATTATTTGCAGTTTAATTAAGTGCTAAGTATTTGTTAGAGGCTTGCACATATGGCTAACTATGCTAACAAATATTTAGCTTATAACTCATAACGGGCGGAGAGATACAGATAAAATATAGAGGTACTAGTTTTAACCCTAGGCTTGCACATATGGCTAACTATACTAACAAATACTTAGCTTATAACTCATAACGGGCGGAGGGATACAGTTAAAATATAGAGGAAGAACATGATGAAAATCGGTCACATTCAACTGTGGCCCTATTTTTTTCGTAATTGTGTTTTGTTATCTCCACGCCTGGATATCGATCCCACACCCTGTCGTGGAGTAGACGAGTGTTCTACCTATTGAACCAAAGGGTTAACCTACTAGCAATAATTAGTAAGGAACTTCTTAACAATTCAAACTACCACGTGTACCTAGATTTTGACGAGTGTAGTTGGCACACACTAACCCGAGTTGCATAATACGCAGGCCCGGCATGGCCAGGTGGTTAGGGCGCTCGACTCGCAATCTGAGGGTCGCGGGTTCGAATCCACGTCCCACCAAACACCTTTCAGCCGCGGGAGGGGCCTTATAATGTGACGGTCAATCTCACTATTCGTTTGTAAAAGAGTAACCCAAGAGTTGGCGGTGGGTGGTGATGACTAGCTGCCTTCCCACTAGTCTTTCACTGTTAAATTAAGAGACCACTAGCATAGATGGCCCTCGTGTAGCTTTCCGCGAAATTAGAAAAACAGTCATACTGTGCGGCGTTACAATTTCGTAACCTGAAATGAAAGTTATGTCTTACACGAATGAGGTCGAACCTAGTTCATTTTGGAAAAGACGACGTAAAACGTGGACGTTGGCATTCTTAGCAACACGTATAACTAAAGAAGTTCCGAATGGCATTCTTAACAACACGTAGAACGAAGGAAGTTCCGAATGGCACTCTTAGCAACACGTATAATTAAGATAGTTCCGAACTGGCATTCTTAGCAACGCGAATAACTAAGGAAGTTCCGAATGGCATTCTTAGCAACACGTATAATTAAGGAAGTTCCGAGTGGCATTCTTAGCAACGCGAATAACTAAGGAAGTTCCGAATGGCAAACGAAAGCCACTCTCACTTCTGAGAACCTCAAACAATTTGCTTTTAAATACTTTTTATATAGAGTAATTCTTAGATAATAACAAATGAATTAATTCGGACCAAAAATAAAACAGTTCAATGGCATACGTATATAAGATATAAGGATTAACATTGTAAATAACAAAGGCTGAATACAGTGCACAAAGGAACGTCACTTTCACTAAAAAAGCACGCACAGAATCTATTTTGGTTAATTACAACAACAACAATAGCCTCAGGTCCAAGTACAATTCAGTTTCGTTGATTTTCAAAACTTCTTGGTGTATACATTTTACTTATTTCTTTTGAACGGAGTGAATTATCCCAGTCAACATTTTTTTTTTGAATGGGTGTATCATCCCAGTCAACATTTTTTTTTGAACGGAGTGTGTCATCACAGTCAGCATAAAAATACGAATTGTGGAACATGAGCAAATGTATATGTTATAAAGGAATCAGCTAACCACCTAGTGGTTTCACTCTTCCATTATGGCGTCTGTTATTATCCTAGAACACAGATTTTACGGAAAGTTGAGAGAACGAGACAGAGACGACCATTAATGATTAATACAAACCTTCAACATAATCTCCACTATTAAGAGGAAGATGGCCGGGACTTCCAGCTGAATAACTGTGGATGCATACACAGGTAGCACCAGGATGAATGTTCTTTTCCGTCACTTCTTCTCTTTCACTGGCGCCCCCTATCGCAAAAAACTTGCTTAATTATTATATCTCAAGTGCAAACCGCTTCAGATAAATCGGTTGTACCAGAGCCACATAATGAATATAGACAATAGAAGTGGCATGGATATGGACACAAAATGGAACTTGAGACAATTATAATAAAAATATATCTATATATAATATTTCAAAAAGCCACTAGATGGTGTCGTATCACTTCGGAGTTTTATTAATTTAAAGCTTCATACCTGCATTTCAAGATTCCCTAATATTTAGTGAACAATAATATATTTATATAAAACTCATTCTACTAACAAGAAAGTGTAAATATAATATATTGATTTCTAGAACTCATTCACTCAAGTCCCGTATAAATAAAAAAATACTAAATATAAATGTTCTGATTATATTTTCAATAATTATCTCCTCAAAGATTACCCTCGTGGCAAAACACGTAACTACATATTTTTAAAATTGAAAATTTATTGATTCTGACTTTTAATTCACAAATAAATAAAAGATAGATAATACTGAATAAATTAGCATAACGTGTACAGAATTTTGGCAAGTAAGTAAGTAAGCAGGTGAAATTTGGTTAAATTTGAAATACTTCTATAAAGTACATAAAAAAAAGTTTCAGACAAGTAGATCATTCCTTCGTTACAACATGACACACAAATTTCATACCTTTTAGAGTACAGCGACCTCTACCAGAGCTTTGAGAATTGTCGTAAACAAATACACAGAAACTCATAGTTTCGATTTGAGTTTACTTATTGTTAAGGTACATTTTATTACAATTTACAGCTTTTATAGTAAGTTAGTTTTTAAAACAGGTACGACGTTTCGATGACTGGTACGATCATTATTAAGTACACAAGTTTTTACAGTAAAGAACGTTTTAGTATTTAAATCAACATTCAAAATCCAACAATGTATTTATATTCTAGAATTGCTTGTAGTTACTTATTCATATAAATATCAAACCGTGTGAATTTTACAGATTATTTACGTACGGCTATATATATAAAAAACAAACTCAAAAGATGAGTAATTATAAGCTTAGGAATGTGTGGGAAAATAACGATCAGAGATATATAGAGATGTGTCTGGCTTTTTTGTTAATATTGGAATTGTTTGATTATATTAATAAAGCTTCTGCGCACAACTAAGCCTAATTTTAAACTCACAGGCTAGAAAGAAGGCAACCACCGCCAACTCTTTGGCTACTCTCGTCTAACTGAATAGTTCGATTTCACCCTCACATTTACAGCGCACCCAATTTGGCAACGAGCTGTAAACCATGAACCTTCGGATTCACAGCCTGAGCACACTAGCCAATAGGCCCCGTTCGGGTACACTGAGCAACATTACTTTAATGTATACACACGAGATATCACTTACTAAAATGTAAACAAATGACGCTATTCTGTGCGTAAATTATTCATTAACTGTT